GGATACACACACACACAGACACACACACATAGGGATACACACACACAGACACACACACAGGCACACACACACACACACAGACACAGACACACACACACACAGACACACACACATACAGACACACACATGCACACACAGACACGGACATACACACAAACATACACACACATAGACACACAGTCACACACACAGACACACACACATAGGAATACACACACACACAGACAGACACATACACAGACACACACACAGACACACACACATAGGGATACACACACAGACACACAGACACACACACATAGGGATACACACACAGACACACACACAGACACACACACAGACACACACACACATAGGGATACACACACAGACACACACACATAGGGATACACAGACATACACACACACATACAACAACCGCCATTCGCCACTAAGTGGCGGTGACGTCACCACGACGCTTGTGCCAGGCCATGTGCACAGACATACACACACACGGACACACAGACACATACACACATAGAGATACACACACACATACAAACACACACACAGACATACACACACACATACACACGTAGAGATACACACAGAGACACAAACACAGATATACACAGACACACACACACATAGACATACACACACAAACACACACACACATAGACATACACACAGAGGGATACACACACACACAGACACACACACACACAGACTGCCTACAGATGTTTATAGACATGGACCGGTTTAGACATCCAGTGCCTCATCAGCAGTAGCAGAGCCAGGATCAGCTTGCCCCAGATGTTTATAGGCAAGACAAGAACCGGGTTTCCACATCCAGCGTCTCATCAGCAGCAGTGAGGCTCTGCTCGAGGAAGCGCTCGTGAACCGCCGCAGACGCGACGGGTCCCAGTTTGCCGCAGGCGACAGGCCCCCTCGCGATTCACAACACCGAGCCATCGCCGGCTCCCCTTGCTTTGCACGGCGACTTTTTTTGCTGTTGCTGTTGCGTAGTTCACACATCACATCAGCCCCACGCAGAGGCAGGCAGGGAGGGGGAGGGACCCAGGGAAGATGGGCAGATAAAGAGACGAGGAATGCAGAAGGCAGCGGATGCAGCAAGGAGATATGGAGATGACAGAGTGGAGAGAGATAGAGTTGTGTGTGTGTGTGTGCGTGTGCGTGCGTGTGACTTGTGTGTGTGTGTGACGAGGTGGGGATGTGAGTGAGTAGGTGTGGACCCCCCTAATGGAGCATCTTCGCCGGTTAGAAACATTTAGGCTGGCCTGCCTACGATCCATCCTGGGTTTAACCAGACTGGATTGTGTGAGGAGCTCACAAATCCTTGAAAGATCTGGGCACGGTCCCATCGGTGAGCTCCTGCGGCGGGCAAGGCTGCGATGGCTGGGTCATGTAGCCCGCATGCCCAGCCACCGCATGCCGAAACAGCTTTTGTTCGGCCGGATCGAGGGGGCTAAACGGGCGCGGCACGGGCTAGAGAAGAGATGGAGTGATGTGGTACAGGAGGACGTGGAGCTGAGTGAACTTGCCGATGACTGGTACCAGCGGTGTTAAGATCTCTGCTTTATTGACCTGGTCAAGGCCTATGATACCATCAGTAGGCCTGGGTTCTGGGTTGTTCTTCGTACTTTTGGAGTACCTGACCCTCTGCTCACGATCATTATGGACCTTCATGATGGTGAGCGGGCCCGGGTAAAACTACATGGCCGGGAGTCAGAGCCATTCCCTGTACACCTTGGGGTGCGACAGGGATGTCCTCTGGCTCCCACATTATTTAACATCTATTTTGACCACGTAGTTCGTGAAGCCTTCAATAGCTGTACCGGGGGAATCTCCATATGGTACAGATATAATGGGAGGCTGATCGATGCCTGGGTGCGGTCAAGGGATGGCTCCCTATTGCTCAACTACGTTATGTATGCCGATGATTTGGTAATAGCTGCTCTTTCAGAGGAGGAGTTGGAGACGCTGCTGTTGAGACTGGAGCTTGCCACTAAGAGGTGAGGAATTACGATCAGCCCCACCAAAACTAAGCACCTGCCAGGGTATTTTGTACCATCGGACACTCCACCCCCACAACTCCCAATCGGGGATGGGGCAGTTGTGGAGAGAGTGGAGAGTTTCCCATACCTGGGCAGTGTGCTTATGACCGGCTCCAGTTTAACAGCAGAGGTTTCACTCTGAATCAGTCGAGCGGCAATATCTTTTCATCGGTTGCGTAATGCTGTGTGGAAGCTACCTGGTCTGTTGCTCCGCACTAAGCTTCAGGTCTTTTTGGCCACGGTCATTCCCTCCCTTCTCTACGCTTGCGAAACGTGGACCCCCCTAATGGAACATCTTCGCCGGTTAGAAACATTTAGGCTGGCCTGCCTACGATCCATCCTGGGTTTAACCAGGCTGGATTGTGTGAGGAGCTCACAAATCCTTGAAAGATCTGGGCACGGTCCCATCGGTGAGCTCCTCTGGCAGGCAAGGCTGCGTTGGCTGAGTCATGTAGCCCGCATGCCCAGCCACCGCATGCCGAAACAGCTTTTGTTCGGTCGGATCGAGGGGGCTAAGCGGGCGTGGTACGGGCTAGAGAAGAGATGGAGTGACATTGTACAGGAGGACGTGGAGCTGAGTGGACTTGCCGATGACTGGTACCAGCGGTGTCAAGATCGGCCTCTGTGGAGGAGGCTCGTGAAGGACGCTACTGGGCAGTTGGAGGCAGTCGCCCTCTAACAACAACGGAGGGCAGAGGAGCAACGCTCACAACAACGAGCCGAGCGCCGGGTGGCTAAAGCACAGCAGGTTGGCACAGTAGGGGGCACAGGTGGTGCATCAGCTAGTCATCTCAGTCAGTCGACCCGTGGCACCTGGGTCTGCCCCGTGACCTCCTGCCAGCGGGCGTTCGACACTTCACGTGGCCTCAAGGTGCACATGGCCTGGCACAAGCGTCGTGGTGACGTCACCGCCACTTAGTGGCGAATGGCGGCGGTTGTTGTTGTTGTTGTGTGTGTGAGTGTGTGTGAAAGTGTGTGTGTGAGTGTCTGTGTGACCGAGTGGGTAGGTGTGTGAGTGGGTGTGTGTGTGAGTGTGTGTGTGAATGAGTGGGTGTGCGAGTGAGAGTTTGTGTGTGTGTGTGAGTGGTTGTGTGTGTGGGTGTGTGTGTGAGTGTGTGTGAGTGTGTGTGAGTGGTTGTGTGAGTGGTTGTGTGTGTGTTAGTGTGTGTTTGAGTGTCTGTGTGACCGAGTGGGTGTGTGTGTGAGTGGGTGAGTGTCTGTGTGTGTGTGTGAGTGGTTGTGTGTGTGTGAGTGGTTGTGTGAGTGGTTGTGTGTGTGGGTGTGTGTGTGAGTGTGTGTGTGGGTGTGTGAGTGTGTGTGTGTGTCTGTGTGTGAGTGGTTGTGTGTGTGGGTGTGTGGATGTGTGGGTGTGTGTGTGAGTGTGTGTGTGTCTGTGTGTGAGTGGTTGTGTGTGTGGGTGTGTGTGTGTGAGTGTGTGAGTGTGTGAGTGTGTGTGTGAGTGTGTGTGGTTGTGTGTGTGAGTGTCTGTGTGACCGAGTGTCTGGGCAATGGCAGACAGCCGAGTTCGATTCCCGCTCACGGCCGCCACCAACGCCAGCGACAGCGATTATCTGAACCGGTCCTGGGCCTCCCCTAGGTCGACTCAGACTTAAATGAGTACCTGGTGCGGTGGAGTGTAGTAAACATCGCCACTGGGGAGACAAAGGCGGCCGGGCGTGGTGCTGGCCACCCACCACCCTGTTAGCACTGTCCTAACACCATGTTTGAGACTACACAGGGGACCTTTGTCTTTGTCTTTGCTACCAACACAACAGGCGCCAGTTGGATAATGAGCCATTGTACTCCCAAGATTGCGCAGCCTCACCCAACCAACACCACACCCACTCACCCACCCACCCACCCACTCACCCACTCACTCACTCACCCACCCACCCACTCACTAACTCACCCACCCACCCACTTACTCACCCAACCAACACCACACCCACCCACCCACCCACTCACCCACCCACCCACCCACTCACCCACCCACTCACCCAACCAACACCACACCCACCCACTCACCCACCCATTCAGCCACTCACCCACCCACTCACCCACCCACCCACTCACCCACCCATTCAGCCACTCACCCACCCACTCACCCACCCATTCAGCCACTCACCCACCCACCCACTCACCCACCCACTCACCCACCCACTCACCCACCCACTCACCCACACATTCAGCCACTCACCCACCCACTCACCCACCCACCCACTCACCCACCCATTCAGCCACCCACCCACTCACCCACCCACCCATTCAGCCACTCACCCACCCACCTACCCACCCACCCACTCACCCACTCACTCACTCACTCACCCACCCACCCACTCACTAACTCACCCACCCACCCACTCACTCACCCACCCACTCACTCACTCACCCAACCAACACCACACCCACCCACTCACCCACCCACCCACCCACTCACCCACTCACTCACCCACCCAACACCACACCCACCCACCCACCAACTCACCCACCCACCCACTCACGCACCCACCCACCCACTCACTCACTCACCCACCCACTCACTCACCCAACCAACACCACACCCACCCACTCACCCACCCACCCACCCACTCACCCACTCACCCAACACCACACCCACCCACTCACCCAACACCACACCCACCCACTCACTCACCCACCCACCCACTCACTCACCCACCCACCCACTCACCCACCCACCCACCCACCCACTCACCCACCCACCCACCCACTCACCCACCCACCCACCCACTCACCCACCCACCCACCCACTCACTCACCCACCCACCCACCCACTCACCCACTCACCCATCCACTCACCCACCCACTCACTCACCCACTCAACCACCCACTCACTCAACCAACCAACACCACACCCACTCACCCACCCACTCACCCACCCACTCCACCACCCCCACCCCACCCTTTAATCTCCGCGTGGCTCACCGGAGTCGTGGTCGTGGTGCTCCGTTTTGATGCCCGGTCCACCGCCACCGCCGCCACCACCGCCACCACCACCACCGCCGCCACCACCACCACCACCACCGCCACCGCCACCACCATCACCGCCGCACGTGCTCGAGGCTCCGTGCTGCGCGTCGTGAGGGTTGGACGCCAGGCCGTGGTTGGCTCCCTCCTCGTCCTCCCCCTCCACCCCCACCCCCACCTCCTCCTCCACCTCCTCCTCCCCCTCGTTGACGTCGCCGCTGCCGGAGTCGCCGGCGTGGCGGTGGTCACCGCGGTCGCCGGCGTGGCGGTGGTCACCGCGGTCGCCGGCGTGGCGCCGGTGAGAAGGGAGGGAGGCGCGCAGACGCTCCTTGGAGTCGGGGTCGGCGTCGTCCCTCGACTGCGGAACAACGGAACAACGGAGTCGGAACGCTGGGGTCGGAACGGAACTCTGGGGTTAGAACGGAACAACGGAGTCGGAACGCTGGGGTCAGAACGGAACTCTGGGATCAGAACGGAACAACGGAACTCTGGGGTCAGAACGGAACAACGGAACTCTGGGGTCAGAACGGAACGGAACTCTGGGGTTAGAACGGAACTCTGGGGTCAGAACGGAACTCTGGGGTCGGAACGGAACTCTGGGGTCAGAACGGAACAACGGAACTCTGGGGTCAGAACGGAACAACGGACCTCTGGGGTCAGAACGGAACTCTGGGGTCAGAACGGACCTCTGGGGTCGGAACGGAACTCTGGGGTCGGAACAGAACGGAGCTCTGGGGTCGGAAGGGAACGGAATGGAACGGAACTCTGGCGTCAAAATCCAGTGCAGCAGCGTGTAGTGGTAATCATCGCCACTGGGGAGACAAAGGCGGCCGGGCGGGCGTGGTGCTGACCACCCACCCCCTCGTGCGCCACAGTGCCGGTAGTCTTCATAGGTGGCAACCACTCACACACTCACTCACTCACCCACTCGTCCACACACTCACTCACTCGCCCACACACTCACTCACTCGTCCACACACTCACTCACTCGTCCACCCACTCACTCACTCACTCGTCCACCCACTCACTCACTCGCCCACCCACTCACTCACTCGCCCACCCACTGACTCACTCGCCCACCCACTCACTCACTCGTCCACCCACTCACTCACTCGCCCACTCGTCCACACACTCACTCACTCGTCCACACACTCACTCACTCGTCCACACACTCACTCACTCGTCCACACACTCACTCACTCGCCCACCCACTCACTCACTCGTCCACCCACTCACTCACTCGCCCACCCACTCACTCACTCGCCCACCCACTCACTCACTCACTCACTCGTCCACCCACTCACTCACTCGCCCACCCACTCACTCACTCGTCCACCCACTCACTCACTCACTCGTCCACCCACTCACTCGTCCACCCACTCACTCACTCACTCGTCCACCCACTCACTCGTCCACCCACTGACTCACTCGTCCACCCACTCACTCACCCACTCATCCACCCACTCATCCACCCACCCATTCACTCACTCACCCACCCACACCTCCACCCACCCACCCTCACCTCCACCCACCCACTCACCAACTCATGGGTGCTGCTGCTCGCTAACAGCACTTGGCCCTAGAGCCCCATAGAGGCTACACGGGGGACCTTTGGCTGTGTATGAAATTGGAGTGGTGGTGCAGTGGTTGGTGCGCTGCTGCGCGACGAACCCGGAAGCACGCGAGAGGGAGAGCGGAGGGAGAGGGGAGGGAGAGGGGAGGGGGGGGGAGGGAGGGGGAGGGAAGAGAGAGGGGGGGGAGAGGGGGGGGAGAGGGGGGGAGAGGGGAGGGGGGGAGGAGAGGGGGGGGAGAGGGGGGGAAGAGGGGGGGGAGAGGGGGGGGGGAGAGGGGGGGGGAGGGAGAGGGGGGGAGGGGGAGGAAGGGGGGGGGGGGGAGGGGGGGGGAGAGGGGGGGGAGGGAGAGGGGAGGGAGAGGGGGAGAGAGGGGGGGGAGAGGGGGGGGGTGAGAGGGGGGGAAGAGGGTGGGGGGAGGAGGGGGAGAGGGGGGGAGGAGGGGGGGGGAGAGGGGGGGGGAGGGAATGGAGGGAGAGAGGGGGGGGAGAGGGGGGGGGGGGGGGGGGGAGAGGGGAGGGGAGAGGGGGGGGGCAGAGGGGGGGGAGAGGGGGGGGGAGTGGGGGGAGTGGAGGGGAGTGGGGGGGAGTGGGGGGGAGAGGGGGAGGGGAGGGAGAGGGAGGGAGAGGGGGGGAGAGGGGGGGGAGAGGGGGGGGGAGAGGGGGGGGGGAGAGGGGGGGGGGGAGAGGGGGGGGGGGAGAGGGGGGGGGGAGAGGGGGGGGGAGAGGGGGGGGGGGAGAGGGGGGGGGGAGAGGGGGGGGGGAGAGGGGGGGGGGAGAGGGGGGGGAGAGGGGGGGGGGAGAGGGGGGGGGGAGAGGGGGGGGGGAGAGGGGGGGGGAGAGGGGGGGGGGGAGAGGGGGGGGGGGAGAGGGGGAGGGGGGGGAGAGGGGGGGGGGGAGAGGGGGGGGGGAGAGGGGGGGGGGAGAGGGGGGGGGGAGAGGGGGGGGGGAGAGGGGGGGGGGGAGAGGGGGGGGGGAGAGGGGGGGGGGAGAGGGGGGGGGGAGAGGGGGGGGGAGAGGGGGGGGGGAGAGGGGGGGGGGAGAGGGGGGGGGAGAGGGGGGGGGAGAGGGGGGGGGGGAGAGGGGGGGGGAGAGGGGGGGGGGAGAGGGGGGGGGGAGAGGGGGGGGGGAGAGGGGGGGGAGAGGGGGGGGAGGAGGGGGGGGGGGAGAGGGGGGGGGGAGAGGGGGGGGGGAGAGGGTGGGGGGAGAGGGGGGGGGGAGAGGGGGGGGGGAGAGGGGGGGGGGAGAGGGGGGGGGAGAGGGGGGGGGAGAGGGGGGGGGGAGAGGGGGGGGGGGAGAGGGGGGGGGGAGAGGGGGGGGGGAGAGGGGGGGGGGGGAGAGGGGGGGGAGAGGGGGGGGGGGAGAGGGGGGGGGGAGAGGGGGGGGGGCGAGGGGGGGGGGAGAGGGGGGGGGGAGAGGGGGGGGGGGAGGGGGGGGGGGGAGAGGGGGGGGGAGAGGGGGGGGGGGGAGAGGGGGGGGGAGAGGGGGGGGGGAGAGGGGGGGGGAGAGGGGGGGGGGAGAGGGGGGGGGGGGAGAGGGGGGGGGGAGAGGGGGGGGGGGAGAGGGGGGGGGAGAGGGGGGGGGGGAGAGGGGGGGGGGGGAGAGGGGGGGGGGAGAGGGGGGGGGGAGAGGGGGGGGGGAGAGGGGGGGGGGAGAGGGGGGGGGGGAGAGGGGGGGGGGGAGAGGGGGGGGGGAGAGGGGGGGGGAGAGGGGGGGGGGGAGAGGGGGGGGGGAGAGGGGGGGGGGGAGAGGGGGGGGGGAGAGGGGGGGGGGAGAGGGGGGGGGGAGAGGGGGGGGGGGAGAGGGGGGGGGAGAGGGGGGGGGGGAGAGGGGGGGAGGGGAGAGGGGGGGGGGAGAGGGGGGGGGGAGAGGGGGGGGGGGAGAGGGGGGGGGAGAGGGGGGGGGGAGAGGGGGGGGGGAGAGGGGGGGGGAGAGGGGGGGGGGAGAGGGGGGGGGGAGAGGGGGGGGGAGAGGGGGGGGGGAGGAGGGGGGGGGAGAGGGGGGGGGGGAGAGGGGGGGGAGGGGGGGGAGAAGGGGGGGGGGAGAGGGGGGGGGGAGAGGGGGGGGGGAGAGGGGGGGGGGGAGAGGGGGGGGGGGAGAGGGGGGGGGAGAGGAGGGGGGGGGGAGAGGGGGGGGGGGGATGAGGGGGGGGGGGAGAGGGGGGGGGGAGAGGGGGGGGGGGAGGAGGGGGGGGGGGGGGGGGGGGGGGAGGGGGGAAGGGGGAGAGGAGGGGGAGGGGAGAGGGGGGGGGAGAGGGGGGGGGGAGGAGGGGGGAGGGGGGGGGGAGGGGGGGGGGAGGAGGGGGGGGCAGAGGGGGGGGGGAGAGGGGGGGGGGAGAGGAGGGGGGGGGAGAGGAGGGGGGGGATGGAGGGGGGGGGAGAGGGGGGGGGAGAGGGAGGGGGGGGGGAGAGGGGGGGGGAGAGGGGGGGGGAGAGGGGGGGGGAGAGGGGGGGGGGAAGAGGGGGGGGGGGGGGGGGGGGGGGGGGGGGGGGGGGGGGGGGGGGGGGGCGGGGGGGGGGGGGGGGGGGGGGGGGGGGGGGGGGGGGAGAGGAGGGGGGGGGAGGGCGGGGGGGGGCGAGAGGGGGGGGGGGGGGGGGGAGGGGGGGGGGGGGGGGGGGGGGGGGGGGGGGGGGGAGGGGGGGGGGGGGGGGAAGGGGGGGGGGGGGAGGGGGGGGGGGGGGGGGGGGGGGAGGGGGGGGGGGGGGGGGGGGGAGGGGGGGAGGGGGGGGGGGGGGGGGGGGGGAGGGGGGGGGGGGGGGGGGGAGGGGGGGGGGAGGGGGGGGGGGGGGGGGAGGGGGGGGGGGAGGGGGGGGGGGGGGGGAGGGCAGGGGGGGGGAGGGGGGGGGGGGGGGGGGGGGGGGGGGGGAGGGGGGGGGGGGCGGGGGGGGGGGGGGGAGAGGGGGGGGGGGGGGGGGGGGGGAGGAGGGGGGGGGGGGGGGGGGGGGGGGGGGGGGGGGGGGGGGGGGGGAGGAGGGGGGGGGGGGGGGGGGGGGGGGAGGGGGGGGGGGGGGGAGGGGGGGGGCAGGGGGGGGGGGGGAGGGGGGGGGGGGGGGGGGGGGAGGGGAGGGGAGGGAGAGGGGAGGAGAAGGGGGGAGAGGGGAGGGAGAGGGGGGGGGAGAGGGGGGGAGAGGGAGGGAGGGAGAGGGAGGGAGAGGGGGGGGAGAGGGGGGGGGAGAGGGAGGGAGAGAGAGGGGGAGAGGGAGGGAGAGGGGGGGAGAGGGAGGGAGAGGGAGGGAGAGAGAGGGGGGAAAGAGGGGAGGGAGAGGGGGGGAGAGTGGGAGGGAGAGAGAGGGGTGGAGAGGGAAAGAGAGGGAGGGAGAGAGAGGGGGGGAGAGAAGGGGAGAGTGGAGGCAGAGGGGGGGGGAAGAGGGGGGGAGAGGGAGGGAGAGGGAGGGGGGGAGAGGGGGGAGAGAGGGGGAGAGTGGAGG